CCCCCCCCCTTCCTCCGCCCCCCCCCCCCCGTTTGCTGGGCCGGGGCTCAGAAGACACTTGTCCATTTGCTTGCACAGGCCAAGGGGAGGCAGAAGAGGGTGATGGCGCTGATGGACTGCAAGGGGGAGAGGGCCCGGGAGCTGAGCTTCTCCAAGGGCGAGGTGATCGTGGTGACCCGGGAGGAGGATGAGCAGAGCTGGGTGAGTGCTGCTGCCTTGGGGTGACTGGGTTAGGCACCGCTGGGAGCCCAGACCCCGAGTTCTAGCCTGGGACCTGAGGCCCTTGATCCACTGGGCTCCTCTCTCCTGCTGTCCCAGCCCCCCAGGAGGGAGCTAGAGCAGGGCCTGGGGGGCAGGAGATTAATATTTAGAGGATGCTTCTTCTCCCATCTCCATTGACCCCTCCTGTCCCTGGGGGGCGGAGCCGATGGACTCTCGGCCCCTTCGGGGTCTGCAGTTAGGAGCTGTACTGGGAGCAGGGATGTGTGATCTCCGGACCCCCCCTGGCATCCAAAGGCCACCCCATCCCCTGCCTCGCAGATCTGTGACTCTTCACACTCTCAAGCCCCCCCTCCCCCCGGCATCCCTGCACCTTCTGTGCCGGGAGCCCCCTGGGGCACCTCTCGGCTCTGATCTGCTGCCTTCTGCCCTCCCTCAGGTCGGCTTCATTGAAGGAGATGGCTCCAGGACGGGCGTCTTCCCTGCCAGCTTTGTCCATCTCTTGCAAGACCGAGACTGACTGGCTGGTTTCTCCTTTTCCCTGGGAACAGGCCCGAGCTCTCGGCGAGCGTGCGGGGTGCAGGACTGACCCCCCCCCCCCCCCCCCAGCAAGGCCTCAGGACTTTGTACTCCAGCAACTCCAGGGCAACAGGCCTGTTTCTCGCTCCCCGTCCCACCCTCAGACTGGACCTCGAAGGCCAGGGCCGGCCGGGCACAGACGATGAGGGTTTGGTGCAGGGGCTAAAGTGGAACCCCCCCAAGGTACCAGTCCATTTAGTCTCTTTCCCCAAACTAGTCCCTTCTCTTGGACGGAGAGGTAGCCGGGCACCTTCCTCCCATTGGACCAGGACCAGCCTCTCTCTCTGCACCCTCACCCCAGCCTTGCAGCTCACTGGATGAGCCGGACAACGAGAACCAGCACATGAGGATCCCATGGAACTTGCAGGCCCCTCTGCAGAGCTGGGGCGGGCGATGGCTGAGAAACAGCAAGGGACCCTGGCTTGCTAGGAGATGGACAAGAACCACGGACAGTCTTGCTGCAGCTGCTCCTTGCTCCGCAACCCTCGGCTCCAGCCATTTGTCTGCTCTGTAACCTCTGTGGACTGAGGGAACGTCTAGTCCTGCCGCCACCTCGGAGACCTGGGAGGGGGTTCAAATCTGAGCCGGGATGCCTCTCGTCCCATTCCCCTGGGATCCAAGTGGGAGCCCCGAGTTCTAGTATTCCGGTGCTGGGCCGGGGCAGAGGTCTGTAGTGAAGCAAAGCAAAGGGACGTAGATCCCAAACATTGTATCTTCTTCCCAGCAATTAGCCCCAAAGGATTGAGTCAGGCCAGGAGCAGGCCGCCAGCCCCTTGTGGGGGACTAGGCACCATCTCCAGGGGGCCAGGCGAGCGTTAGCCTGGCTGCGCACTGCCCTCTGTTACTTCCTAGGGACACAGGCCCCGGGGTGAGTCTGCAATGGCAGGACAAGGCCCATCCAGTGCTGATAGCCTGGCACCCCCCCTGCCCTCCCAGCACAGTGCCCCAGCCT